AGTGATGAGTCTGGAGCCATCCAGGAGAGACTCCCGTATAAGTTAGCAAGGAGGCAGGGACTAGGAGGTACAAGGTGTTCGGGATCATGTGAAATTTTTGATCGTGGTCCTCGATGAAATGAAAGGCATAGGGGAGTTTTCGGTGGATGAGGTAAGGGTGGGGTGACATCCCATTTGCAGTGTGAAAAGCTTGTAGCGTGATGGTCCTGTGCTCTCAGGAGAAGGTGTTAAGAGAATATTATGCTAGTACAATTGAAAGATGACCAGGGCAGAGATGGAGAAAAGTCAGTGACACTCGAGAGTGAGCTAAAAAGTGAAGAACAAACAAAACAAACAACACCACCAAAGAAGCTAGCAGTGGTCATGATTCGAATATCTGGAGTGAAAAGGTGGAAAGGATGGCTCAAATTTCTGGCTGGTGTGTCCACACAAATCGGGTGGCAGTCACTGGAAGGCGACCAGACTGGGGAGGAAGATTGCATTTCGTTTTGGGTAATTTATTACATTTCAGTTTCCTGTGAATTCTCAGATCTCAAAGACTCACTTGGATATACTGGTCTGGTGCTCAGAAGTTTGGGCCAAAGATACAGAGGAGTCACGGGGTAATCCTGCACAGGAGACTGAAAAGGAATGTCAATATAGGCAGGAGGAAAACCAGGAGAATAAGAGACCGTGGTCCCCAAGGGACGAAAGTGCTTCAAGAGGAGCCCGAAAGCGCCGTGCACTGCCGGAAGTTACATGAGAAAGAAACTGGTAAATACCAGCTTGGATGAAGACACAGAGCCGTTCTGATGGTTGGAAAAGACGAAGGGAAAACTAGATTCGAGTGGGTTGGGGAAGAGCTGAAGAGGTGAGGGCAGATAACCCCATGTGACTTTTACCCTTGAAGAGAAGAGAGCTGCTCCTGGAGCAGCGGGACACCTGGAGAGTCCAGGAAAGTCATCTGAGATGGGCAAGTGTGACCACATTTTCCTACTGCTAGGGCGGAGAGAAAACAGATGCCTTGGCAGCTAATAAATGTCTCTAGACTACAAGACCTGCTTGTGTGTGTGTGAGAATTCAGATTCTGTATGAATTTTCAGGCAGGTTTCTCAGGGATTGATTTATATCCGCAGACACGACACACGTTCATATTTATCCCCGTATGCGACCACGGCAACACTGAGGACCATAAACACGGCCTCTGGGAGTTAAGGTAATGTTAGCTGGATTTTGTAGCGCGTCCAGCTCAGAACAGTTCAGCCCAGGTTGTGGTTATTACTCAGAGAAAAGAACCAACAGTAGAGCATCGTCTTGTTCTTCTCGTTTTCATTTTTTTTTTTCCGCTTTAGAATTTCCACCACGTTCATGTTGCTAACTAAGCCAACACAGACGGCTGCAGGCCCTCCGAATTTAGAAAATAGGTTTTTATTTCTCTTCCCCCAGAGCAGCTAGTTAGTTCCCAATGTGCAGCACTTTGATCCAAAGGCCGTTGCCAGCTCCAGAGTCTCAGTGGTATCTGAGTGAGAGAACCAATTGATCTAGAACTATCTTAAGGCCCCACAGTGTGGGGAGACTCACAAAGAGCCACCTCAATCCAAATTTTGCCCCTCCTGGATTTCCTCTTGGCCTTGGATGCAGAGTGGGATTTGGAGCAGTTAATCTGGTGCTGCCTGGACGGGCCTGGCAAGAAGCACTCGAAGCTGTGCCCCCCTCTGCAAGACATACGGCACTTGTTGCCTTGCAGCATTGTTCGCCCTTGGTGTCTCAGTCGCCTGTAAACACAAGGACTCTCCTTATCCGATTGCTGATTCTTTGCCTCCGTACACCTGCTTCAGAGACCCCGCACCTGTGTAGGTCAAGGGCAAACAGTGGTAGCTTCCTTCCTAACGACCCCCCCCCCCCACCATTAGGCTCAGCTTGCACTTGCTGGGGCCACCAGTCATTTGCTTCGGGGAGTGAGGCCTGAACCCTGCTTGGGAGGGCCTGGTGCCTGCAGTCTGACTGTCTGTCTATCTTTTTATTTCATCAAAGTATGGTTGGCCATCACCTTACATGAGATCCAGGCCTACAGCAGAGTGATTCCAGAAGGCTGCACGTTATGCTGTGCTCATCACAAGCAGAGCTACCATCTGCCAGCATACAAAACTGTGACAGTACCGTTGACTGTAGTCCCCGTGCTGTACCTTTCGTCCTCATGACTCATTCTGTAACTGGAAGCCCGTGTCTCCCACTCCCCTCCACCCATTTTGCCCATCCCCTCACTCTCCTCCCCTCCAGCAACCGCCAGCTTGTTCTCTGTATTTGTGGGCCTGTTTCTGCTTCTTTTCTCTATTCCTTTGGGTTTTTTTTTTTTTTTTTAGATTCCACGTATACGTGAAATCTTACGGCATTTGTGTTTCTCTGTCTGATGTATTTCACTTAGCCTAACAAGTCCATCCCTGTTGGCACGAATAGCAAGAGGTCATTCTTTTTTGTGGTTGAGTAATATTCCATCGTAAAAATTGGCCACATCTTCTTTATCCATTCATGTGTCGATGAACAGCCCCGATACTCTAGAAAGAGCCGCTCCCCTGTGGGCAAAGTCATCTTAAGCTGAAATCAGCTGTCAGAGTAAAAGTTGCATGTGGTATAAGGCTTAAAGCTGCTCTCCAAAGTCACAGAAGAAGCCAGCTGCAGGACCCTAAAAGCTAACCCATAAAACAACTTGCTATAAATCGCCAAATAAACACCAGTGTCCCACACTTAGGACATCGGGGGACAGGGCAATAAAGACGTTCTCCTCCCACCCAGGTTCTGAAGCAATCTGAAAATTTAAAACAGAGGAATAAGGCAGAGAAACCAATCTCTCACCTTTATTCTCGATAAAACTGACAGGAGATTGTGCCTTGCGTCCGTGGGGTGGGTATCTAATACTAAACTCACAAGCAGAAGCTCTCCCACGCGGCAGAACGAATAGGACAGCCTCCCCGCCCCCCCCCCCGCCCCCTACAAGAGTGGATTGTGCACATGGCACCCTTGTGGCGACAAGAAGTAAAGCAAGACGTGGGCTACCTGTGGGCAATTCTCTGCCGAAAAGAACCAGAGCGGGGCTAGATGACGCCCGCCCCGTTTTCCTTCTACACTCGCTCACCAAATTCCCGATTTCTGCCCCCAAAGAGAAGTCTGTGTGCGAGGTCAAAGAGAGGCCAGAAGCTCCTGGAACCCCACCCAGATGGCAGAAAGCGATCAGGAGCTATGAAGAAATTCCCCCCACACAGCCCCGCCCTGTGCCCCAACATCTCCTTCCTGACACAGTAACGGGAGATTGGATATTTGCTACAGAGATGGGAGTCCTAGTTCATTCTGATGGCTTAACGCACGTTTCAGCGTGGACAGCCATATCACAGCCTGACACGGATTTATAGACAGACTCCGTATTTGCTAAGTGCCCTTTGTGTGCCCTGAACTATCAGAGGCCCTAAGAGCTTACAGAGAAGCAGATGGCCCAGTTCAGCCCTCCTCCTCCATAGGGGGTGTGTGGGCACAGTATTTATGTTAATGACATTTAGAGACTAGTTGGTAACTCACTGTCACCATAGGAAATCAGAAGCAAACGTCTATGCAGTAAAGTCTCTCATGAGCCGTATTGGCCTTAAAGGATCCTTCGGTGTGATTCTGATTGTCTAGATCTCCTAGCTGAAGACAAAGTGTGTTTCCTTCCTCCACGCGTCCTTATTCATGAAGAGGGGGAGGGTATGTCATCAGAAGGCTGATTGGGAGGAAAATGACCTCATGTGCTCGCAATTAAAGCTGTTTCCCTTTGCATCTTGGTGGAAGAACACCCTGGGCGTGTGGCAGGTCTGTTTAAGGAAGTATATGTGTATGAATTAGGAAGGGTGGGGCTGACCTACACAGGCAGGACATTACTCTTCTTCCTCTTCCTGCCCACGTTTCCCACAGCAGTCACGGTCATTACTCAGCTTCCTGTTGGGGAAAACCTTGGACACTGAGCGCCCACCTGCTTCGACGGGCAGACCAAGGACAGCAGAGTGTTCGACGCTGCCGTGAAGCCTGAGCCTTGAACTTGCACGCAGACCCCTTTCCGGGAGTATCCGAAGCAGAGGTGGAGCGGAGCCATTCTGCGTGGGGTGGGGGTGGGGGGCCCGGAAAACGGCAGCCTTGACAGACCGTCACTGCCTGGAGTAAAACACCACAGGCGAGTGACACGTGGGGATTCCCAGGGGCCTGTGGTGCAGAAAAGACCTGGCGAGGTCCCCGGATGGCACCCTTAGCCAGGCAGTGTGGGCAATTGCGGCAAGCGAGAGGCGGCTGGGAGAATCAGGGCGTCGGGCAGCCGGGCAGCGGCGGAGTCCGCTGGGCCTCTGGCCACAGTGCTGATTCTCTTCGTCCAACTGCGTGTTGGCTGCAACACGGCGCTGGGCGCGAAGATGATGAAGGTGGTGGCCTCCGGCTTCAAGAAGCCCACAGTCCGGTCAGGGGGGTTGTTCGTACCGCCCTCAGCTGGATTCCGGGTTGGTAACGTAAGACAGTGTGAGGAGCTCGAAGCCACCCAGCTCCCTGGCACCGTCCCAGACCTAGTGGGGCCGGCCCGGGCATCTGCATTTTATCCAGAGCTCCCGGGGCGCCCTGCGGTGTGGGGATCGCCGGCAGAATAAGCCCAGTGTGCCGAGTGCCGGGCGAATGAGCCTTGGGAACCGTGAGGACACGAAGGAGACAGACCTCTGGGGATCACTCAGGCATGGGGTTCAGGGAATTTCACTGCAACTAGCAGGTGGCTCCCTTCACCTACTTTTCCACATTGATGTCGCTTCTGGTGGCTGATAACAGCAGCTGCACAGGGCTCTCAGGGTCTGAATCTGGGCATATTGCTGGGCGTCAGGCTCTGGCCGCGTGTCCTGTGGCTGTCACCTTGGACTTCTGATTCGCCCACCGAGGAGCGATGTCTGTGGTTTGCGGGGATCTCAGATCCGTGGCAGCGGTGACGATGGGAGACCTTGAACAAGAGCCCCACTTGAAGAATGCTGGTTCTCTGTAGTCTGCACGGCAGATCCTTGGCTTTTGCAGCATCGCTGTGTTATCTCCGCCACCCCACCCCGAGGATGGGGCGAAGGTGGCTTCAGCTTGTCTTGATAGAGCCTTTCCTGGAATCCCTCAGGGGCCTCACCCCCAGCCCACCCAGTCTCCTGCAGCTGGACACGGAGCTCCTAAACAAAATGACTCAAGGTAAACACGCTTACCGTGTTCCCGCCTCCTGGTCCTGTCCCCTAACGAGTGACCCTGGACCATCCCAAAGAGTCCTGCTTCATCCCCCACCTCCAGGCCAGAACCAGGCCCCAGGCTTGAGCACCTGGATCCCCTGCTGTTCTTTCCTGAATGCCACTCCATGCCCACAGGGAGGGGGCCCGGCAAAGACATTTTCAGCCTGTCCTGTGACTCTGGCGGTCATGGGAACTAAGAGACTGTTGAAGGCCTCTTCGGCCCTTTCCCTAAAGGACAGGTACATGGCTCACCAGGCAGCAATCTGCTGACCCCTGGCAGAGCCCAGCACAGCAGAAGGCATGCTACGTGGCAGAGGGCGGTCCCCACTTTGGGGTGCACCACTGGAAGAGACAGGACCCGTACCTCTCATCAGATGCCGCCCCCCATGATCATATCCACTGTGCCCCAGCTTCGCGGCTGACCCCCACCCTGAGGTTGGGGCGAGGAGGGACTAGAGCCCACAGCTTCCCAGTCTTGTACCCCTTCAAGTCCCCATCCTCCATTTCTACCTTCCCTCCCTCTGCAGTGATACTGAAGTTTTTCTAAATTTTGGAAATGTTCACAATAATGAGCAAATGAGGGACACTTCAGCAAAATGAATGTGCAAAGTGTGAACCCTCAAAACCCTGCTGCTTTGTAATACACTGTAGACATTTGTGTGTGCGTGAAGAATAGGGAGGGATCTGAGGAGTTTGCCTCCTGCAGAAACAGTCTTGATCTTGTTAAATAAGGTGTCACTGGGAGAAAAGGAGTGTGTGGATGTAGATCCTTTCATTGGCATAATCCATAGACGTCATTAAGAACAGTAAATTATATCAAAACCTCTCAGGCTAATACAATTAATTCAATCTTAATACCACCCAGGGTGAATGAATACAGCAGCTAGAGATCCTCAAGGGATTCTCCAACTTTCTACCACTTGCCCCTCCCACAGCCCTCATGCTGTCGGTGGTCTCCAACCAATGTGCACCGGGCATCTTGACCAGTAGGGGGCATAAGTGAGCAGTGTACTAAATGGAGCTCAGGTCCCACCTTCTCCGTATGAGGCAACACCAGCCAGCTCACCAGGAGAGATAAAAGAACTAGGCTACTGGAATCAATTCGTTTAAAAACATTTTTTTTAAATTTTTTTAACATTTATTTATTTTTGAGACAGAGAGAGACAGAGCATGAACGGGGGAGGGGCAGAGAGAGAGAGAGGGAGACACAGAATCTGAACCGGGCTCCAGGCTCTGGGCTGTCAGCACAGAGCCCAACACGGGGCTCGAACCCATGAACCGTGAGCTCATGACTTCAGCCAAAGTCAAGACACTTAACCGACTGAGCCACCCAGGCACCCCTGGAATCAGTTCATTTTTAAAGAACCTTTGAGGGGCACCTGGCTGTCTCAGTCCACTAACAGGTGCAGCTCTTGATCTCAGGGTCATGAGTCCAAACCCCACATTAGGCATGGAGCCTACTTAAAAAAAATAAATAAATAAAACAAAACGAAATGAAAAGCCTTTGAGAGTTTACATGATTGTGAATTTTTATTAAATTCCCTTAACCAACTTCCCTCAGCCACAAAAGCTGACATAATTCTGCGAAGTGAACATTCGGAACAGTAGAAATGTTCCTCATATATTGTGAAGGAATTCCGTTTGTCTAGGAGAATGGTTCTCTCTGGAAGACTAATTGTCCCAAAGCTGCAGTTCAGCAGAGAAATGGGATGGGAAGAGAGAAAGAGACTGGAAAGGTACATGCCTCCCCCAAGTCCCCCCCCCCC